CTGCTGTCTTTCAAATCGTTTTTCCAGGGATTTGGAATGCCTATGTTCTGAAGTCTGGGGAAGACATTTTACAAATTTGGAACTCTATTGTTTAGAGCTAGAGGCCTATATACTGTGATAGCTTGTATGAAAACCACATTTTTGATGTGATACGGTTTGATTTTTAACCAAATGATTGAGGTCAACCCCTTTTTGTAGTGACAGAAGGAAGAGGAACTTCTTAATGACGCAAAGGAATGTTGGCCAATCCAGTCACCTCAGAAGGGCTGACCTAAAAAATCATTTGTATCCCTGTTCTTGACTGTCCTAATACAGATTTTTTTTTTTTTTTCCTGGATGAGGAGGAAGTTTTAAATTGTTAAGACAGCTGTCGAAATAAACACTGTTCTACATATGTTTTCTGAAAACAACCTTGAGTGAAAACAGAACTTTTTAACTTTATTTTTCTGCTGTACAATTTAAAACAGTTTTAACATTTGCCTTTTTATGTTTTAAAAGCTAGCCATTTTTATTAAACCTCTGCCTATCAGCCATTGACTAGCAATGACGCTCTAAGCAGGTCGTTCTGGCTACAGAAAAGTGTTTTTGAGCACACTGGATCTGATTAACAGTATGGTACGCTTATATCCTCTCATAGGCATCGAGAAGAACACTCTCATAGAAGAGGTTAGAATTCTAATGACGTGCATCTCTGCCAAAAAATTTCAGATTCTGATATGATAAACCCAGATTTTATACTCTTGAGAAGATTTATTTTTATTTATAATGGGACATAAAGTAAGAGATGTCCGCGAAGCCACTTTTCCAACAGATGCTGTGTAACATTCATTTTATATAGCACATGGGGACACAAAAACAGTAAATTTTCTATTGGTACTTGCTCTGTGCATTTTTAGCAACTTATACCAGCAAATAAAGTATTCTCAGTAAAACACACAAATGGTTCTCAAGTAATCACTTTGCTGTTTTTACTACCTACTTCAAGCCCTGCCAACCCAAGGTACATAAACAGCAACTTTCCTAGTAAGAAAAGTCAAGGGTGGGGGAAAGGAATCACTTTAGCATACTAAAAGCAATTTTAACTGTACCATAACAAAAAAAGTCTACTTTCCATGCCGTAAATACCCTTTTGCGCTATTTTTGTAAATTAATTTTGCCAGTTAGGAGTACTGTATGTGCTGCATAGAAATTTGTGCTTAGATGGTGAAGTTCTTAAGCTTACAATGGAATACAGCTACATTTTCAGTGTTAACTGTGCATATTACGAGTAATTCTTTGGGAAAAAGATATGATTTTTCAAAAAAGTTAAAAACATCAAAAAAAACCAACAGAAACCCCAAAACATTCTCAGCTAATTCATTGTAACGAGAGATTTTTCAATGTCTTCAATAATTTGGAATTTCATTATGCTTCGATTTTATGACTCTGCCTAGTAGCTGCTACTTAGTTACAACTGGCCGGATCCCGGAGGTGCTGGCCATCCACAACGTGCACTGACTCCTGTATCTCTGAGAATCAGCCCCAAAACGTTAATCTCCCTTTCTGCATTCTAATATGAGCATTTGAGATACAAAGCAGATTATTGCCCCACTTGGAGCACAGCAGTTTGAGAGGTGCTTTTTTTTAGCAACTGCGAAATAATCACGGAGCTTTTTTTTTCTGTTAGGAGCTTACTGAAAAACAAAACCTTAATGCCCAGCGCTTACTTGCTGGGAGGGAAAAGATTCTAATTTTGCAAACAAACCAGCGTTTCACTCAGCTGAGGTTTGTTTCCTACAACACGTGCAGTTCTCAGCCATGGTTGCCAAAAATGTTTGCCAAGGTAATGCAGCCGTTCCACAGCTGTCAGCTGGGTGATGTGTAAAACCTGAGCCGTAGCTGGAACTTTATAAACCAACGTTACCTCCCTCCTCCTTCTGTCCACCCCGGAGTAACGGGTGGGCAGGAACGGCTGCATTACACTGTCACCACGATACTCCTGTGAGCATAGTAGCATAATCAATGCTGCCTGGTTTGAGTCATAGTCTCAGACGAACCTTGTGCTTCACAGTCCTCTGTGTGGAAAACTGATTCCTAATTTAACATTGTAGAACACTGTATAACAAACATTTATTATCACGGTACCTGCAAGGGGTTTCCAGTTCAGTTTGCAGTCAATAGGTTTTTGTATTATGAGTGTCTCCTTGATTGGTTTTGCTAGTAATTCTGTAAATTGTACATTTACAATATGAGGTTTTTTTTTTTCCTTTTGTACAATTTAAAACTGATGCTTCACCTTTCATTTAATAAACTATTCAAAATCATGAGTATGATGAGCACCCTCTTCACTATAACTTTCTTTTAAATGCTCGTTTGGGCCATCACATCTTGTCATCCCATTTATTAGCAGCCAAAGGAAATACTGAAAGGTGGTTCTCACACAGTCCAGGTTCACAGCCAGGTGCCATACAGCGACCGCACCCCGTCAGCCTCAGAGCAAAGGAAAATCCCTGGCTAGCCTATTTTTTTTTTTTTTTTCCCTCTCCACAGCGGTGAATTTTTAGTTTTTGGTTGATCTGGGGGGTTTACTGTGAAATTGCTGTAAACCTGGTAAGTCATCTTCTCACGGGTTGGGAAAGTCGCGTTGTTAAAACTTTGTCATTGTTGGAACTGTCACAAATATTGAGGAGTCGCATTGTTAAAACTTGTCATTGTTGGAACTGTCACAAATATTGAGAAGAATTCCGCTCTCCTGCCCTGTACGTCTTACGTGATCCCCACACGGGAAGAAGTGGAGGAGGTAATGGCTCTAGCAACCAGCTGGGCTAAATGAAGTTTTACCGATTCCTGAAACTAAACGTCCTCTTGCTGTTCTCATGTCTTGGAGAAAGAGGTGCTATTTTTGTCCAACCCATGAATGATTTCATCTCTGTAGCGCTAAAGAAAACTGACTTGTTTATCATCTGGCCCACTTCCTAAAGAAAAATCGTCTGAGTCAGGAAAAGTAACACGATCCACAGGTGAGAGACAGGGAAGGATTCAAGGTCCGAACTGCACTCTAGGTCTACTTTTGAGACACAGCCCCAACGCCGAACCTCCGCTTGCAAGTTAAGCTCAACTCCTGGTGCACAGTAAGTAACTTGTCATGCTGCTAAGTTCAAGGGCTGCTCTCTGTTGAAAGGATTTTATTTTACATCTGTTGTTTCTGCAGCTGACCGGAATTCAAGAGAATCCCGAGTTGTGTGGCCAGAGCAGTTTTCCCGTGTGTTTCCAAAATGTTGTGCTGGTAGAGCGACTGACTGCTTGGAAACTGAGAGGAAACAAAGCCAAATTCTTGGGCCAGCAAGGGATAAAAGAGAGGATGAAGCCTACAGAACTAATGAGGTTAGGAGACAATTGAGCACAGTTGTACTTTTTTCTCTGTGACAGTGAGGATTGGGTTTCTCATTTAGTGTCTCCTCCTGACTCCGGACAGGCTGAAAAACTCTGTGCCTGTCGCTTCCCTTAACACAGCTTTTGCCTCTGAACTTGGGACAGCCACCAGCCACTCTCCCAGCAACTACCTACCTTTGAAAAATCCTCTTGCTCCTTACAAACTCTTGACTACATCTCTTCTCAAAATTAACTAAGAACTCACTTCATGGCACTGACCCCCAACATAGTAACGTTCCAGTTTACCTTCCCTTGTCGTTGCAGCCAGCTCTGTTCCCAGGGGCACCTGCTCAGAGTGAGTGTTGCTGCTGAGACACAACCAGGTACGTTCGGGCAGCCACCTCAGAGGTGCGTGCAGCCAGGACAGACTATCTGTAACCCAAATGATCATCTCTAGCTACGACAAAAACCTGTGGGGCTGGGACTCATACTCCAAATGTCCTGCTGTCCTGTGTTTTCACATCTTTCCCCTCCCTCCCCAGGTGCAGGCCCCAAGCTCCACGGCTGCACTCACCAGGGCACCAGCTGCACCACCTGGGAAGAGATGCTACCTGGGAAGTCGCCATCTGACCTTTTTCCACTTCAGGTGCGTGCTCGGGGCGTGAAGAGAAGCGGCTGCGGTGTGCAGGTAGGGTAGTTCTCTGCCTTATGGTAACACAGTGCCATCAGTTACTGAGGCTGCTTACAACAGGCAGGTCGTGACAGGACGTCAGGTGCTCGGCAGCTGTTTGCAGCGGTGCCAAACGCGACGATGCCTCTGGGGCTGCACTTGAAACGCAGCTTCTAATGAGTGGAGTGAGCACAGGGCCCATCGGCAGCAACATCTACTGCAGCAGTTCCTTGCAAGTCTGGGAAATAATCCTAGAAAAAATGAGGCTGGAAGGCACCTGTGGAGCTCCCTATTTCAGCCCTCTGCTGAGGGAGGAAAGCCCCCCCATGCTCAGGGAAAAGAATTTCTATGTGCCACCAGAAACGCCCTTTTTCCCATTTGGATGCATTGTCTCTTGTCCTTCAAGAGGAGGCAGGATGGATCTCCTCTCTCCCATCTGTGCCCACAGCCTGGAGGTCACCGTTACCAACCCGAGGCCCGCTCTTGCTGCGGCCAGCACGTCAGAGTCGCAACTCAGGACCGTGTAGCAGAGTAACAGAACAGGTCAGCCTGAGAGCAGCGAAGCCGGGAGCCCAGTGCACTGAAATCCAAGCCCAGGATTCTTCTCTCTGCGAGGCTGCGGTGCAGAAAGCGGTCACTCAAGTGGACCCAGGGGTAGACTTGAACTCCACCCAGGTCCAACTTCGCTGCAGCGGGAGGGGGATCTGAGCCACCCCCAGGGCCTGCGGAATGAAGGAGCCAAGGGCACATTTGACCTTAAGCAATTAGTAACAGCTCTTGTGTTGATTACTGACCCACCAAAATGTGCTGACAGAGGTGAACTAGTAAAACCCCAAATTAAATGAGACCTGTACTATGATTTATTGATGGCCATTAGCAAATCGAAATGGAAAGAAGTATTCCCATTGCAAAGCAGACCTCCACTTGAACAGACAGTATCTGTGCTCAGCATACTCCATGTCTTCCAGCGTGGCTGAGCCCCTCCTCATAGTCACAGTGGGATATTAGCATGTTTCTTCCAGGGGCTGGACTGTGTTTTACTGGCCAGCACATCTAGGTCGTGGCAGATGCGCATGCGGGTGCTCGAAGGTTGGATGATATCGTCAACAAACCCTGGGGAAAAAAAAAACCACAACAACCCTGACCACCCATGAAGAGTTTGCCTCTCAGCCTTCTTACATCTAGGCTGCAATGTATATTGCAGCAAAGTCTAATCAGTATTTGAAATAAACAGTTCACAAGTTACAAGTTAACTTAAGAAAATCATTTACAAAAGCCCGAAAAGGACATATTCCAGCATCGATAGTTTTTAAATTAGAAACATTTGCTTTCTTAATTCTAGCAAAAGTTAGCAAGCCAAAAAATGTCAGGAGGGGGCTTTGCTCAGGGGGATACTGCACCTGTTACTGCAAAGTTTTAGCCATTCCTTCTCCTTCCACCTACTACTGTTAGTCTGATCTAAAGGTTCAGAAACGTTGATTACAGAGACAGCCCTTGACTTGGCACGCACAGGAGCCTGTTTTTTTCTGGCTCAAACAGGAGTAATGGCAAGTCTGCTGCAAAACCAGAGCGAGCACTGCTGTAGCACTGGTTGTGGTGGAAAACAGCTTGGCTAAGCCTTCCCAGCTCTGCAACACTATTAGCGGGATTTAAATGGGGTACAAAATTAGTAACAGAGTAAGCCAACATGACTGAAAACAGAGAGCCGACTCCAGCGTCGACAGAACTGTCTTCTGGAGCACAGTTAATGCTTCAAAGCTAGAAGGAAAATTCAGAAGTTGAAAAACTTACTCAAAAAGTCCTGGGGAACATCACTGAACTCAACTAGACTGGCACTTTCCTAAGGCCGCTGGTCTGCATCGAGGGCTGTCAAACGGAGCCTCAAAGCACACGCGCTTTTACGGAAAAGTCCTGAGATGCTTTCTAATATCCGCAAAATTGAAAACATGCTTTTCAGTGGAGTCTCACCAGTCTCTTTCCAACTGCGGATGTGTGTTGTGTCTAGATGTGATTTTCCTTCACCCTTCTGAATAACTCGTTCATTACCAAAAAGCTGAGCCGCTACAACTGTATCTACGTGCAATGGCAACACCAGCAGGGGAAACAGGTGTGAGATGAACGTACCTCTCACGGCTGCGGGAAAGGGGTTTGCAAACTTATCCACGTACTCAGCCTCCGCATCTGCCTCTTTTCCTCTGAAAATGATCCGGACGGCACCCTGGGGAGACAGAGCCCGCAGGTCAGTGACAGTACAGCCCGTGCAGAGGAAAGCTGTCAGCTGTACCAGCCCCTGCCCCGCCACAGGATAAACACGTGCACCCAGGTGAGCTGCTTCAGGGAAAACACCAGTTGCCTTCATCTTTCTTCGGCCGCCCTGCACCACGGTGAAGGCGCTGCTGGCTGCTGCACGCCACCATGGGAGTCAGCCCGGATTTACCTTGGCACCCATCACCGCCACCTCCGCGCTCGGCCAGGCGTAATTTGCGTCTCCTCGTAAATGCTTTGAGCTCATCACATCGTAGGCACCCCCATAGGCCTGGAACAAAAACCCAAGGGATTAATGAGCATGGAGTGACCTCACAGCAGCTTTTACTGCCTTCTTCTTGCAGCTTTTACTATTCCAAAGACAAGTGGCCCTAAATTTTACCTGAAGTAGAGCATGAGTGTCTCCTAAGACTGGATGTCTCCTAAACTAGAACCACAGAAGAGCACGGAAGGGTGCTGCTGGTAACAAAGACTATTCTTGACGGCAGATGAAGAGGAACTGGCGTGTACCTGGAACACCAGGCCTCAACCCGCACCTTGCACGTGCACACAAACCAACCCGTCGGTGTGCTTCTGGAATTTCCTGGCCAGGGAATGCAGCACTCGGACTCTGCAGTGCTCCACTCTGGTACTGGAAGTGGTCCAGACAGCAGTGATGAACAGATCCTGCAGAACTGCAGAGCGAACTGCAGTAGCGCCCGCTGCAAGGCGTTACTGAAAACTACGGCAAGGCTGCAAGCTCGGGAAGCAAAGGATGGTAATTTCAGAAGAATATTCGTCAGAACCAGAGAAGGCAAAGAGACAGAAAGAAGGAAAGTTCAGTTTCATTTTGCTATGGTAATCCAAAAACCTATCAGAAAAACAAGCAGGAGGGGCAGACCAGCAAGGAAAAAGCTTCTTTTCCCAGAAGGTCCCCGGAGCTTACAGCCGCACGGTGCGAGGTAGCGTGCAGAACACGAGAAAGGAAGACAATTCAGTAGATACAGCAAAAGTATGTGGAAGAAGAGAAACCACGCGGGGGTTACACCTGCAAAAACAGCAGAAGACAGACACAATCAGCACTGGGTTCGGAGAAGGAGATGAAGTGCCAAGACCAGAGGAAGAAGGTGCGCAGACAGATGGTGTGTCCTCAGTGGGACAAGCTGGGGGACAGAGGACAAATACTTGACTGAAGCCATTCCAGGGAGAAAGCAAAGAGCAGGAACGTGCATCTCAGAGGAGTGCAGAGACAAAAGGAACAAAGGAACTGAGGTCATGTTCTGAGAGTAGAAGAAATGGCCTCGTGTCACCTGACATGAAGAGGGGTTACCAGAGGGACAGATGGACAGAGCTTCGCACTGACGCTGCTACTGGTGAAAACAGGAACTCTGAAAGAGCACCATGGAATTGGGCCAACTCACCTTTCTGGTGATGACAGTAATTTTAGGCACAGTTGCTTCTGCAAAGGCAAACAGTAGTTTTGCACCGTGACGTATGATCCCACCATACTCCTGAGCTGTACCTACAAGTGACAAACAAGGTTTTTTTCACTCCAGGGAATTCACAAAAAATCCCGCGTGCAGTTTGGCAATTGTCATCTGCTACCAGTGGCAAACCTAACCACAGCCAGAGCTGGGTCCATATCCCGGAGAAGGTAATACCCAGGCAGTGCTCTCCATAAGAGGCTGAGCAACGGCCACAAAAAAACCACTCGCCAAAGCAGCACAGATTTGTGTGTAAGGTCACAGAACCCGACGGGCTCTTCCTAGGAACAAAGTACACTTGCATCGTTTTCAAGACTCCAGATGTGACCGGCAGTAAAAGGACGCCCCAGATTCACCTCCCAGAAACCCACTCTTTGAACCCCCTTTTTTCCTAGGCCATATTGAATGGCAGCTTGGCCACCACACCAAAGACCTGGCCTAGACTTTCTTCAGACAGGCCCAAGGTGCTGGACCTTGCAGACAGAGCATGAATTCCTCCAGGATTCTTACAGCAGGTGGTTCTGGAGAAAGGTCACATGCAGCAGAGACGAGTACAAGTCATCCATGTGGTAGGATGTTCAACATGTTCTGTCCCAAACTCGGGCCTGGATCACTTGCCCTTGGAAACAGCAATACCCTGTACCCTGTACCAATTTCTAGAATTTTTTTCTAGGATTTCTGAATTTCACACCACTGGATTAAACTCCACAGTCACTTTCTAGCAGTTTATCCACCTGCTGACTTTTGCTTTCAGCACCTGAATACTTTGAGATCCTTTTAATAGATGATTTTTTTTTTAATGTAAGATTTTAAGTAAAAATTCTTTTGTGAGGTGTTTTTTTTTTTTTAGTAACTTATTCGATGGCTTGACTATGACACCTCCTCTCAAGTGCAATTTGAGTATCTAACAATTTGTGCCTGCACTTACAAATGTCTGTTTTCAGCTGCAACCTCACTTCTGGTTCTCGTCTTTCTCTCCAGGCAGTGGGACCTGTCAACAGCTCGGCAGCACCTGCACACAGCTGGGATGCCCACCCTCGATCCAGATGCTGGGCAGCACCAGCAGACCCTGTACTCCAGTCACAGCCTTAGTGTCTAATTCGCACTTACAGCAGAGCAGCCAGTCACTGAAATGCTTCAGGTGTCACCTCAGCTGTTGTGTGAGCTACTGGCACTGTCACCCGCAGCCAATTAACTCCTTTCTGGCCACAGATGCAGTCCCAGGCTTGTTCTAAGTATGTGTTTTTATCCACCTACAGGATACGAATGCCTTAAATGTAATCTCTGGACACCCATTAAGTTGGGGGCTATTTAAAGCTGTTTGCACCTCCATGACCCATTGTGATGGATTCTTTCTTCTCCACTGACCAGCTAGATGAGGTGACCACCACCCTCAGCATTTACTACTTAAACTGAAATTTCTAATGCTCATGTGATAACCACGCTATACAGCATGTAGGCATCTAAACAAAACAGCTGAGCCTTTAAAGGGACAGGGAGTCTCCTTATAACACAGCAAGCAGTGTAACTTCCATACCATTCATGACAAGGGCAGCATCTCCAGAGAACGCAGGTTGTTTTTCTTGGACAGGCCACAGTCATAGCTTTGCAGTTGTGCTGGGATTCCAGACAGCTGGACACAGCTTTCCAGAGTGTGATATACCCATGCTCAGCCCTGGCAAACTGGGCATCCCCATGTCTCTATCAGGCTGCTGAACACTTCAGCACTAACTTACTTCTCCTCAGAGAAGGCCAGCAAAGCTCTGTGAGCTCCGGACAGGCTGTGGCAGTATTAACGGCACAGTCAGGCACTTACTTCATTTGTCTGCAGTTTCTTGCGTAGTTCCATAGCCTTTTGTGGTGTCTACTGTACTGAGATTACAGAGCTTCTATCCCAAAAGGTGGTATTTGAAAACCTGGCTTATTGAAGTCTATAGTAAAGGTCTTCTCACAGAGTTTTTAAAACAGGTTTTTACCACCACCACCCCGTGGCATACCTGGCAAAAATCCAGGAACATCCACAAAAGTTATCAGAGGTATGTTGAAAGCATCACAGAAGCGAACAAAGCGGGCTCCTTTCACAGAAGAATTTATGTCCAAGCACCCTAAAGTTAAGAAAACAGAGTAAGGCGTTAACCCTTCCAGTGACCTGCTAACAGCAGTAATTCACGGCAAAATCCCACTGTTTTAGCTGTATTGTCTTCTTAAAACAAAGCAGAAGCTTATCTGGAGATAAGGTGGAGATAATCCGCCATGAAGTTTTGCTGCTCTAGAACTAAGGTTAGTTAGCTCCAATCAACAGGCACACGTTTCATTTTTCTGACCACTCTGCATAGAGGCTTTCTATCCCAAAAAAAGTAGCAGTTTATTACATATAATTATATGTATTTTATAATTATATTCTTGTAATTTCAAGTATTTTTCTGTAATTTTCTCTTTACTGATACTTTTTCTGATCAGTCATATCGAAAGGCTAGAGAGATGTCCATTTAATTTTATTTTTTTTAAATGGTCCACTACTGTTTTTGAGAAAGAGCAGTATTTTTGGTAAACATGCTGCAGAGTATTCATGTTCTGTTTCAGTGTCATTTAGAATTGTATTACGTGCTATTACATTAAACCCAAACACAATTTGTATAGGAGCATCGATCTGAAGCATCGAAAATGTTAAAATTGAGACTATCAAATAAAGACTATAAAGTAATACTGAAAGCTGCTGGCTGTCTAGTATCCTGGCAGTCATATCCTGTAAAGATTATCAAAAGAATAAAACATCACACTGGGTCATCCGATTTTGCGAAACAAAAAGGCACAAACCTTAAAAACAAGGAGTGAAACAGAAAGTCCTGGTTAGTGAAAGTCACTTCAGAAATTACCTGGTGAGGAGAGAAAGCAAAATCCCTCGACAGCTGCACCACCACGCCAGGACAAAGGGCCCACAACTCCCCTTTGGATTTGAACTTTCATTTAGGATTGAGGGCCAAATGGCCAATGGAGTATTCCATAGCATGCAGCATCACGGACAGTATTGAGAGGATGGTGGACAGGGAAGTTTGGATTTTTCCTTAGGTTCTCTCTCTCTCCTTCCTGCCCCTCCCCCCCGCCTTTTGGGCGTCTTGCTTTTCCAGGATTGCAGTGTTGGGACTCACCTGTTTCGGGATCACTTGCTGGGACAGAACAGGTGTTGGTCACCAGGTCATGAGCAATTACACTGTGCATCACTTGCTTGTAGATATTATTATCATTTTTCTATATTATCATATATTGTTATCATGGATTATTATTAATAGTTTGATTTTATTTTAATTATTAAATTGTTCTTATCTCAGCCGACAAGTCTCCTTCCCTTTTCGCCGTTCCCAGGGCTGGGGAGGGTGAGCGAGGGCTGGCTGCCGCTGGGTTACAGCACACAGCTACAGCAAAAGGAACAAGTTACCTCACCCTACAGAAGAGCTTTAGGTGTTCTAACGCCGTGGCAGCAAGTTTGCAGTTTCCATATCATGCGTAACGCAGTTAATTGCGGGCTGCTGCCACATGGGCCTCCTGCCCACCCTGCTGACATGCTCCTACCACTCCTCTGGTGCTGGATACAGCCACCATCAAGGCACCTGTGAGCAAGGTCACCTTGTGGATCCACTACAGACATTAACTGGGTTTCAGTTAGTTTTAACATAGCTGCATTATAAGGAGAGTCAAGACAAAGAAAGTGGTAGAACAATATAGTAAGAATGAGTGGAGGACCACACAAAACACAAACAGGCCAGGCAGCCTTAAAAAGCGTGGGAAAAAAAAAAAGACAAAACACAGAGGAGGCGCAAACACTGTTAAAAACTTGCACATGGGACTCGCGCAGGTACATCTAACCTGATGCTACTTTGGGTTGGTTGCCCACTATCCCAACGGTCCGTCCGTTCATCCTGGCAAATCCAACAACAATGTTTCTGGCGTAGGATGGCATGATCTCGAAGAATTCCCTTTCATCAACAACCTGCAAAGGCATACGTGTGTGTGTGTGTATACACAGGCAAATACAAAATCAGTTACGTCAGCATCGGAACTTTTAAAACATTTCGGAATTTGCAGACTTAACATTAAAATAATGAAGAAACCTTTTACTCCTCTTTGTAATGCTTCATTTCAGAAGTAACTAGTGCTGCACTTAGTAGCAAAACTGCCCCTTCAGCATTCCCTCAGAGAACAGCTCTGTGACATTTACTTCCGCTGTAGCGGGCCGTTTTTCTGAGCGTGTAACAAATTAAAACTTCAAACCACACGCGAAGAACTTCTTTCTCGCCACTTCATTATTGGCTGCACTTTGCAAGATACAAAACGTGGTAAAAAGCAAACAGCACTTCACGGAGCTCAGAACCTCTCCGTGAGTTTGACATACACTCTGTTTCTTTGCAAGTTCCGAGCACTGTGTCCACGGAGGCCGGCGCAGGACGCTGTGCTGCGTGCCCTCCCCAAAGGCACAGAGCACAGACACGCAGCCGAGGAGCACACACTACATCCAACACCGCCCTCCGGAACCCCCATCCCTGGCACTGCGCTCCTCGCTGGGGCTGAGTTCCAGCACGCGCTCCGCAAAGTGACATCCGCTGGTGTGTTACACAGGATCAAAATTCACAGTTCAGAACAGATCCTAATTATACGTGGAGCAGTAGCGACACCTACACATGGCTCCTCCTCTCTCCTCCTAGAACTCCTGGGTGCAACTGTTCGTGACAACTTGGCCGGTACAGACTGTGTTTGCCAGTCCTTTCTGGGACTGGGCAAATAAAAGTTGTGAAAAATGTAAGTATTATTACAGCAGGTTTATTTCCTTAATACTTCTCAAAGTCTGTGGGAGGGATTTTTTTTTTTTCCCCCTCCTAATTAGCTGTGGAGTTGTTTTTTTTTTTTAAATGCCACCTTTTAACTTGGAACAGGCAGTACTGGAAGAATCTACAGATTAAAAGGCATCTCCTGAGCTTGCTTTCTCCACTAAAACGAGTGTACACGCAGCCAGTTGCAAACCGAAACCCATCAGCTGAATGAGCGTGTGGGGAGAGAGCCAAACAGGAGAGCAGAAGGGGGAAATTTGTCAAGGCCCTACAAACACAGCTCAGCTCCCCCCACCACCATTTGCACGGGCTGCCTGTGAAATAGAGTCTTCCTCACTCCATCACCCACCTCAGGGCCTGGGTCATCACGCTGAGTGGCAGGAGCAGCAGCTGGAAATTTTAATATTCAAAATTCAGGCTCTCAGGGTGCTGTAACATTTTCATGTGCTAAAACTGTTCCAGCCGTGTTCTCTGCCCAAGCGTGTATCCTGTCACAAGCTGTTACAACTGGAGAAGTGAGTTAGGCAAGAGAACTATCAGCATTGCCTACGCTGCTTTAATAAAAACCTCCATTATTCATAAGTTGCAATACTGGCTTTTAGGTTTTTTACAAAAGGGTAAGATGTTTCCTTCCCTGCCAGCTTCCCAGGAGATCCACATCACTTAATGAAACTTTACTACTGGAGTTTCCGAGCTTCTGAGTGCTTGACTTGGGATTAAAAAAAATACGTTCCTGTTCTGTCCACGTACGTAACTGTTTCTCAGAATAAATAGAGAATCTGAATGCACTTTATGTAGTTTATCACCTTTTACAAAGAAGTGGTCGAATTCAAGAAGTTGTAACATGCAGGGAGGGGGGCAAGTGACAGAACTCAGAGCAGGGGATTGTTTTGAGCCCAGAGAGGAAACTGAATTACTCATCTTTTGCCTGTATGGTTATGCATAAGAGGTATCCTGAAAACAAACCTTAGGATTCCTTTCATCTGCTAAAATATTTTTTTCTGCAGTTTCTCTGTCCCTTCATTCATGACTACTACACAGGTAAAAGTAGTCATTTGTTTAGACTTTAAAAAAAAAAAAAAAAAGATCTTCACTGCCATTCTATCGGTTTCTTTCAGTTATTTATACCCAGCATATACCATATCCATATTAATCTCAACAATGCTCCCTCCCACTAGCAGACTTACGGAGTGTATGATATCCAGCATATCGTAGGCTTTAGTAGATTCCAGTGGTACAATTGTGTCCAGCTCAGGAACCAAACGGTCACTGCAGAGAGTAAGTAAGTGTGAGCAGGAACATTTACAGATCAAACGAATACCAAGACAAGGAACTCATGCAAACAATTCCACCTCTCTGAGACTTCATGGAAAGTGAAGGAAAATACGGGGAAAAGAGACAGGCCTCTGCCTCAGCCAGCTGTGCTTCGGGCCACTGAGCCCTCGCACACCAGGAGGACAAAACCCTGTCCCATCTCCTCCTGCAGGAGACAGCTCTTCCACAGCACCTCTGCTTATGAAGCCATCTCCTGGAAATACTATTTCTCCTCTTTGACTCAAAGAGCCTAGTACCACACGTGCGGAGCACACACAGGGAACTCAGAGGCAGGCAAGCGCTGTGAACGGGGGGCACTGGGGGCACGTGGGGCACTGTGCTGGGCCACAACTCGGCTGTGGGGAAAAGGGTGTGGGAGAACAAGCGTCAAGCGGCAGCAGCAGAACATCCTGCTCAGCCAGCAGCTCCAGTCCTGGCAGCTGGATGGGCAAAATGGTTTCTCTCATGGGCAGAGCGCGGTTTCCTGCCATACACCTGGGCCTACTGTGCGCACACAGCTCAGGGGCGGCACGTTTACGGCTCTGACGCTTTCCCTGCCCACACTGCGCGCTTGGGATTTTAAATGCACTTAACTGCAGGAAACATTTCCATACTTATTTCCCTGCCACCAAGCAAGCTGACATTCAGGAATGGGGAAAACACCGCCGCTCTCAGCTTCTTCAGTTTAATGCCAGCGTTTCAGGAATCTGTACCGGCACTCTGATAAACTCCAGCGCTGCACCCCACGTGGAGCCTCACGTTTACCAACGTGCTGCCTCCCTGTTAGCGGCTGTCCCCGTCAGCCACCTCCACCTTTGATCAGACGGGTGTCACTAAGGACCTGCAGGCGTTGGTCTTCACTGGGTCTTTGGGTTCCTTCACCGTCCCTACAGGGGGTGTCGGTGTTTATGAGCCAGCACTGAGAAGACTTCAGGGAGTTTTACAACTGTGCTATTCTAAAAAAATACTGATCTATATTTGTTATAAACAGTGTTTCTGTGGAGTTCTTATCGAACTCTTAACACTGCCACGATTTAGTACATTTAAAACAACACGAGGCTCTAGATACCCAATTTAAAACCGAAGGGAATGATTTGCAGTTTGTCAAAATCAGGCAAAAACTAAGGCAAGCCCTCGGGCTCACTCCGTGCTCCCTCACAAACACAGGACTAGAGGCACGTCTCCTTGCCCAGACAGCAAGAGACACATCTATTAATATAATAAAACTGACAGCAACACTTTAGGTGTTTTTTTCACATGATTAAGAATATTGCATGCAATTATTTTCATAAAATCATACAATGAAACCCCAAGCTGATGAAAGCAACCAATTCTAATATACTAAACGCCAAGCTACAAAAGATTCTAAAACTTTTTCTTATCCATAAAGTAAATATGAATGTGCTCTAAGTTCTGCCCATTACCTGCAGTATCCCAAAGGATAAGGAAAGTAGAAAAACGGAATTATTGCTCCTATAAATTCACAGTCCTGTAGAGTACTGAGGGAAATTATAACGGCACTAAAATGAATAGCCACCGTCAAAATGAAGCTATTACCCAGGATAGAACAAGTCCGAAAATCTCCTTCGCATCATCACAGATAAAGGATATCTGGAGCTTGCTAGTAGAGTCACTGGACTTAAGAGGTTGAGAACTGTGTTTCCTACAGATCCCACTGACCAGGAAGGAACTGCTTTGAGCCTGTGACAGCTTGAGGCACTCTCACCCGGCTCAACATTGGTTTTCATTCAATAGAAAAAGGAAACTGTACTTGGTTATCAAGAACTGGTAATAACCTCCTCCAGAAATGTGTGTGCATACTTCAGAGGAAATGAAATTTGCTTATAGACAAAGACACGTAAAGGTAAAAATCACACCACACAATATACCAAACGCAATGAACGAGACACCCTTCGAAGGCTGAGGACACACTCACCATTGACAGCTTGGTACTACAAGGAACCTTCTAACTCTTTAGAACCCAGGCCCCTGATGTGAAAAACTCCAAACAACAGAAGCTTTGGCGACCAAGACTGACACTTTTCAACACCACAAAGAAACTACCTACCTAGAGGGGAAAAAAAAAACAAACCAAACCAAAAAACCCACCAGCTTCTGGACTTTTAATAAAGTACATTACATTTAATTTGCATTATTCGTGGGCATTTTTTGTGGTGTGAAAATGACGTGGTAAGAAAGAAATTACTCTAGAGGAATGGGTTTTGACTGGAGCAGCAGTAAGGATCAAACACATAAATTCAAAGCAAAAGGAGTCTATTAAGATGTCAGTATGTCCAGATGAAATATTACCAATGTAAGCATCCAGATCACAAATGGGAGAAATATCGGAGATGCTGCTATGAAAACAGGCAAACGTAACAAATGGATCTGTCTTCACATGCGTAAAGACGACTAAATTGAAGTACTTAGTACAAATTATTGCGCATTTATTATACTGTGATCCTCTAACAATGTATCTGGCGCCACATGAAAGATTGTCCCCCGTAAGAAAATAAAGGAATGACTGACTACCAATACATCAGTAGCTACAGCATAACTGACAGCTTCTCACAAGAAAATAATCTGCCTATTATAAGATACACCGAACAAAAAAAATGGACTGTTGTTTCTATAATGAAATTAAAGTATCACATTCAAGTCTATAGAGGGTAAATATCCCCGTACGAGTTGTTGAACCCTTAGGAAGAACACAATACTCTCAGAGATGATCCCCCAAATTTACCAAATATTGTATTTGCTTTGGTATGTCACTATCAAACCAGAACAGTCTCCCAGCTTAATAAACTCCTAAAGATCAACATCTTAGAAAAAATTAGGACCAGTAACTAATTGACCTGTGTAACCATGCTCTAAAAGCAACCGGCAAATTCATTTCTCTAATAGCAAACGATGTATTTCAGGTACCAGAGCAGCGATCTGTAAAATCCAGCCAAAAAAAACCTCCCCCAACAAACTGCTCCAAAGACACTGCAAAGAATAGTGAAGCGTGAAGAGAGGGTGACCTTCCCACATCACATGTTAAGAACCACAAGACATACATCACACACATCTAGAACTGAAAGGGACAAATCGAGGAGCAGCTCCCATACCGGAGAGGGCGACCACCTCTATGCATTCCCTGCAGAAAGGGCTGAACTGGGGGTGTAACTGGATCTTGGATGAAAACGCTTTACTCCATTGGCCTTCTCTTGTCTTTGGCACTACTAACAAGGCTGTCTACTCCAACAGTCCCGTGCTGGCCCTCTCTCCCTTGGAAAAATTCTCTGATAAAAATCCAGGCAGTGGCAATGTTCCCCTCCTGAAAGGACTCAAGTCCTTCCTTTGTTATGTTGCCAGGTACCCAATAAGCCTTAGACACAAGTACCCACCACACAAAACTTGCTGCCTCCTTTGCCTCCTCGTTGCTTCCCAACCTTACTGAACACGACTTCCCCAACAGACACATATCTGACAAAGCAAGGCAAGCTCTCCCCACTTTTGTTCCACGTACGTACGTGCATATGTTGAAACACTTCCCATATTCCCACACCACAACGCAGAATTACCAGCCCAGATCCCAGGCACACACTCATCTCTCTACGCTCCTTGAGCCAAAGGAGCCATGGCATTGGGTGGTCAGAGAGCACAGGTCTCAGCCAGTCTCCTCTTACCTGGGATCATGGCATTCGCAGACGGGCGCTGGGTCACGGTTGCTAAGAGGTAAATAATTAAAGAACTCTCGGAGATTAAGTAAAGCATCTACATCATTCTCAAAGGCTCTGTGCGCAACTCCTGGAAAGGAACAGTTCAGCAGTTGCTGAAATTATTTCGCAAGACTTCATTCTCAAGTATGCACCAATAAAGATACAAAGAAGTAACTAAAAATTTTTAAACCTGAGTTATCAACAATCGAGAGTTTGAAGCCACCAAATTCGACCAGCTAAAAATATCTACAGACTGTGTGGCTGTACCAGCTTTCCTCCTTAACAAGTCTGGATTGTTGATCTCCTGTATAAAATAATGTAAACTGGTTTATCAGCTGTCACAGACCTAGCCGGATCCCAGCCTTCTGGAATTCAATCCAGGCCACTGTGCTGCAATCAAGCTTTGGACTACAAGTTCTGTTGTAGAGGCTGGATCCGAGCAGTGCCTCTGTGTGTGGCTGTGGTTCATCATAGTTCAGTTCACACAGAATCTGAGATCCCACAGTCACTTTGAGCCTCAAGAAGATTCATGAGTCATCAAGTTTTCCCAGAGGGGGAAATCAACAAAAAAAAGGCCCTTCATCTCACATTGCCTCTTGGTTTATAGTTAACAAGTTCAATCAATCATGTTAGAAAGCAAACAAGGGATTGTTAAGAATCTTTCAACCCAAGCAAATTTCTGGACAACAAACAAAAAAACTCACATCACCCCAAGCCTGCTTTTCTAAGCCTTGCCCTCCAACAATCTTCCCACTTTTAGAATCTTTTGTGCATTTGCTGCTTTCTTTTCCAAATCCCAGAACTCTCCCACACTCCCACTTTTCCTATTTTGTTTTCCATTACTAAAAAGGACCGGCAAGAGAGCCCTATGGAGTAAGATCCTGTGCTTAAGTAGCATTGCATCTCTTAGACTCAACGATGCTCTCGAGTATCAAAACCTGCATTAGACAATCAGCTGTCATTTACTTTAGAGAACAGTTGGTACATTAAGGGAACTGCTCCGCTCTTACCGGACACAGCGGTGTGCGTCTTCGCACCCCCCAGCTGCTCTTGGGTGACGTCCTCATTGGTAACAGACTTAACTACATCCGGGCCAGTGATGAATAGATAGGATGTATCCTGGGGAGGCAAAAAAGCAAAAACACACCATCAATGCTAGACTGAAGCTGCAAAAGCACCTCAGGAAAAGCCACAGTCCCTAAAGACTTTCCTCAAAATAAGAAAACAGAACATAGGGACAAATTTCTTAAAAACCCTTAACGCATGATATTAAAAATCTACAGAAAATGCAGTTATTCACAGGTTGTTTGGGAAAATTATTCTTGACTTTTCTTGAAAAATGAGTTTAATGTAAAGCCGGAGACCATTTCAAAATAAACCCTTCATGTGAGGTAAGTTTGTGTCTGACCAATGTTACCAGCAGCAGGTCAAGACACACTCCCACCTTACCTTCACCATGAACGTGAAATCAGTTAAAGCGGGTGAATACACAGCTCCACCAGCACAAGGACCCATAATGAGGGAGATCTGTGGGATTACCCCAGAACACAGAACATTTCTCTGCAATAGGAAAAAAAAAACCATTTAGTTTTAGCAAAAAAGTGCATCTTTAAGCCTGCGCAGAGCTTCTGCAAGAATTCACAACCACTAACAGGAGAGGACAGCTTGCTTTATTAACTCAGAGACAAATATCTCTGGAGAGAATGTCTTGATCCAAACAGAACCAAAATAATTGTGTTGCTACTGTTTCGCTTCTTTCTGTTCCCATACATTTGATTTCATATATCAAGCAATGACTGCAAAGGGAAATGGAACATGCTGCAGAGGCAAAACCTTCACTGAGCCTGGCATGGTGAGAAGTGTATGTACCTGAAATTTGAATATATAGGAACACTATCGCTCAGAGGTAGAAGCTTTACTAACCAACCGTGGCAGAGATTCTTTTAAAACCAGATTCCTACACGGGCTCGAGTTTTACACAACGGTGAATTACTGCTGTCCACCAACATGGATGGCATGCTGTCCAAAACAATGTTTGCATTGCTCATTGCTCAACTGGATTACAATTCGCTTCTGGAACGGCTCAACTGCATCGCCCCAGATTGCACTAATCCAAAAGATTGCCAGCATCCAACCAACTTGTCATCCCACGTGCTCTCGTTGGTGTTTTGTGCGCTTACTTCAAAACTGTGTGCTTTGGTATGCACATAAAACAATGTCATTTCAGTGAAAAAACAATCGGTAGCCTGTCTAAGGAAAAATTCTTGCATTAGCCACAAAAAATACTGTAGAAACATAAAACTTTCACCAGTCCAATCAGTATTGGATGTCCCCAAAAGGTAAGGTTAATGTTGTACTGCATACTCTTCTTTGAACAGAAACCTCTGACTTGCATCTTTTTTTCAAAACAATTTTTCCCCCCACTGACCTACCATCTTGACAGAACAGGCACTTTGTGCTTCTAATCGAGTTTCTCAAGTTTTCTTCAAGCACATAGTGTTTGATTTACTTTAAGTCCCTCTTTCTGCAGTGGAAATCTTTCACCTTTTATCAGCCCTATTGAAAACAAATCTGCTGTGTGAAATTCTGAACGTTGCCTGCATTTCAGAGGAGACACAGAGACAGCTGGTGGTGGATCACAACCATCAGTCACCCAACAAAACACCCTCTGAACTACAACATATCCACCTGTCTCAGACAAAACGCATAAACACTCGAGAGAAATTACATCCCAGCGCAGGCAATCTATGCTTTAATGTAAATCAGAAAGTTAAATAGTTAATTGTAAGAAAAACCCAAACAAGTAAACGGCCTATTCTTTCATTCTTCTGACACTATATAGCGCAGCTCCTACAGAGCTTTTGATTGGCTCACAGTGTTTTGCAAGGCTCAGTATAACACATGGGTAACTGGAACTAAGAGGTACAGTAACACATGGGTAACTGGAACTAAGAGGGAGAGTAACTTGCCCAAATTCAGTTAAGAGAACCAAGAGGACCGTCCAGGCCTCACAAGCCCTCATACACGTTGCTTTATCCAGCTGGGAACACTGGCTGAAATAGGATGATGATAACCTCAAAGTTTACTTACAAACACGGATTTACGCAAAGAAAGACTTTGTCCATCTTCACGGATGCCAAGCTCCCTGGTCATCCAGCAGCCTACTTACCAAAAATATATCTGCATATCCCGCCAAGGACTCCACTCCCTCCTGGATACGGGCTCCTCCAGAGTCATTCAGCCCAATCACGGGGGCTCCAACCATGGCGGCTTGATCCATGACCTGGTGTTGAATCCAAACTCCTCATTATTGACCTAGCTAAGCTAAAAGCCCAAAGCAACCAACCCCCAAAACGTACATCCCTAGAAAAAAATCCATAGGTGCCAGAACTTCAACTGCCAACACAGTGCTCAGATAATACAAATAAAGGAGAAGCTATCACAGTCACTAACTGCTTTTTGGGGCATCGTGGTTTGACTCTTCAGACTGGAGGTGGAAAGATACGCAATTAACCCCTCTCATGTCCTTTAATATTCACCTGCCTGCGCATCGCCATACTCACACTGCATGATCCAAACTCCGTGCTAAGTGACATAACCACGGGAACTTGGACCAGAGAGGTTCAATCTATCTCTGTTCATAAGAAGTCCCAACTGTACCTTAAACACTTCCGCATATAGGTCTGATCTGATCGTAAAAGTTCACTGCAGCGCTGATTGTGCAATCTCCCTAAGCAGTGCAGTCTAATACTTGATCATCCTTCTTAGGAGCTCTTTGAGAAGACTATACTAAGTCTTTCCTCTGGAAGTTTGGAAACATTACTTCTCTCTTGATACACAGGAGACAGGAAGAGCAGTTACTACTTCTTTACTTCTGCCTTCGTAAACATTCAAGCACCTCAGCTCTCCCTTCAGTCTTCTCACTTCCCTTTGTGTTTCCAGACCAAGCACCACCAAATTCAGTCACACTGTCCCTTCTACGTCCTTTTTTTTAGATCTCTGACCATTCTGGTTACTTGCCTCAGGACCGTACGCCGTACTCCAACAGAGGCTTAAGTGAGAGGAGTTAATTCCTTACATTCCTTACATAAAATACTCTTGCTTATCAGGTCCCAGTAAAACGTTTGCCACTACTACAGTGCAGGCATATTATGTTAAGATCCGCTTTAACATGAAGATCTGCTTTAGCTCCTAAATAATTTTCTGTAAAACTACACAAAGGCAGCCAATCTCCTTTTTGAATTTCACTGTTGCTTTCCCTGCCTGGTATTAGCCCTTTCCATCATCGTTACAGAATTATATCTTATTTCGGACAAACCTCTCAAGTTTTTAAAACTGCAGTCCTGTCTTTCAGAGCGCTTGCAGCGCCAACTTTGAATTTTATGTTTCTAGAAACCAGTAACCGTACTCAGTCCCACTGAAACCACTAGCATCTTAGCAGCCCAGAATTCCAGCCGGAATGAATCGGGGATAGCTATTTCTGTATAGCTCCAAAGTGGCTTTGTTCCTAATTGCAGTCATTCACCGTAAAACAGGGCTGCCTCGCACTTCACACCTGGATGTCCACTGAGAAGCTGAAATATCACTGTGGTAGACACACAGAACAACTTTACAATTTAAACACAATCCCACATTTAAAAGCATCCGTGTGGATTGCAAACGGAGGCGTTGTGAGCCACGAGCGGCCTTGTTTGCTTGTGTGAATGTTACACAAGGCATTGTCCAACACCTTACTAAAATCAGCTGAGCTGACATTCACTGCTTCTTCCTAGAAGGCCTGTTATCTTATCGGGACAGGTTAGTGGAACAAGTTCACCAACACATTTTGCTGTTTTCCAGGCACTTATACATGGATTATTTATTTATTTCAAGGCTTTTCCAGACACTGAAGTTCCTCCTAAAGCACACATCAATACGCACATTCACTACTCAAAACGCATCCAGATATTTGAGACCAGATATTTTTTTGCCATACCAATATTTGCAGGGAACATTTCAGGACTTTTCAAAAACACTTTTCTTCATCTCCTGGGCTCAACGATTGTCTTGAAACATGACATCAAAGATGCACATGTTACATAGGCTTTAAAGTGTTCCCCACCACAAACGGGCACCTGTTACTCAGAAGAGCCACATTAAATCTCTGTTGCTTCAAAGAAACCATTACAGGCATTTCATGTGGTCTGAGAGACCACGAGGTTCTTCTGCAAAAGTAGCAGGCAATCTGTAGCCCAGATCTACCCAACTTGGAGCTCTGCTACAAGACACCAAATATTGCTGCCTCTCTGCAACTCCAGGAAAAAGTCCCAAATGGGAAATGATTACCAGCAAAGGGGCAGATCTCCAGGGAAATCCAGCTAAGGGAGAGCAACCTGACTTCCATGTTCCACGACGTTTTACATCCCTTAAGCCATCGATAAGGTTTGCAGGACCCAAGATAGTCTCTCGGAACTGATTTCTGCTGCCCAGAATTCGGCCCAACGAGAAGAACTAAGAGCAGCGAGACAGACACCACAGCACCCAGCCGGCCTTTGTTGAGCTCTCCACTGCCCAGGCTACAGCCTCAAAGCCTCTGAGCCTCCAGAGACTGGAGCCTGCCGCTGACATCGATGCCAACCAAGAACAGTACCAACTAGGAAGGACTCACATGGTTTTCTAGCTCTGCTACCAGCACTCTCCTTGCTTCCTTAGGAATAAGAGATCAAAAAAACAGTAGAAAGCATCCCATCATTCCAGTACCATTATAACCCTCCCTAATACAAAGAGAACCTGCAAAACTCCAATGTGAAAGGGTAATATCAAGTCTTCCTCAATCTCAAGACTTGATAAAGCCAGGTAGTTATTACACAGCCCAAAGTCTTCATATTTTCTAATTTTATACCTCCTCACTGCCTGAAAGTAGCTATTTCCATCAGGAGAAAAGGCCTTGAGCATCAAAAACCTTGTTTCTGATTTCCTAGCAGGAAAATTCAGGAAGTTTTCACCAGCCCACACCGCTGAACACTCGTGCATGAAAAAGCTCTTGTCCTCCTCACCCCTGGGATTCAAACACCATCTTTTCCAGTGGGACAAGCAGACAAATGAGAATAAATAGCCACAAGTGCCTGATAGCAGCAGCTCTGAGTATCAAGGTGACCCCCTTGTTGTAAAACTGTTTATCTTCAGATAGTTTACTTGTTACATTTGCTTTTTATAAGTATTACACACTTCCACATAGCACTGTTTATAGGAAAAAGTTTCTCCCAAGTCGTTTCACAGTTCTCCAGCAGACAATAGCTATTTAATTTATTTTTGTACTTTGCAAGGCTCTCTTGTCCTTTGAAGCACAGTAGAAAAAGCAACTTAATTCAAACAAAGTGAGTATTCCTTGGAAAAGCTCTCTCATACTTGAAAAGCTTTCAAAGGGTACCTCTCTGCTGACCTGTACTTTCCCATCTTAACTGACCAAGGAGGCAGGCGTTTTCAGGTTGCCAGGACATACGTCAGAGTCCACTAAAGTCAATCACAAATCATCTTCTCCAAAGTCATTAACATAACAGATTGAAAAAAAAGGACGCTGACTTTTTTTTGGTTTATTTTCTCCTGTGAAGTATTACCTTGCAGATCTTCTGGGCATGAGCTCCAGATAAACTACCTCCAAACACAGTAAAATCCTGGAGGGAAAACAAATTTTCAGATTAGGAGAAAGAATCATTTCAGTAAAACGTTGCTAGTAAACAGTATAATCCTACAACGCTCTGTATTTGGTACCCTGCTCCAAAACAACCCGACTCCCTTCCTGCACTCTGCAGACCAACTTCTGTTCAATCCAAGGTCTCTTTACAAGCAGAAAGACTTTTTTAATACGCATTTTCCAGTGGATTCTATGTTAAATCACAAACTTACTGTATCTCATTTGCCTTTTTTTTTTTTTTTCCTTCACAGATACATTCTCTCTTTCCATATAAGTATGTTGCTCTTTTAAGGACATTATCAATACTGGAGAAATTTCACCTGCGAGGAAAGTCTCACTGCAAGGGGCAGCAGTGAGATATGCCTGAAAACAGGCAGAAATCAAAACCTGAAAACATGCCATCATTGTATATTCATTAGTTAAGCTTCAAGAGTCGGTTATTCTTGTATGGGTGCTGCAGGGACTCTGTCAGCCAAAACAGCCTGTTGGTGCTACCCCTGGGCCTGAGGAGTAAGATCTTGAAAAAGCAACACAAGTCCCTGGGACTGATCCAGAAGAGAAAGCGGATATTGACACCTACTGGCATCAACGGAGCCCAGAGACAACTTCTGGAGAGTTTCTCTCATGCATTCCCACCCAGTCTTACTCTCAAAGAAGCCCTAAAAACCGTGTGGACAGAGAACAGCATGACTATAACTAGCAGCTGAACCAAAAAGGAAGGAACATCTCAGGTGGCAGCTCAATTTGGAGGGGAAAAAGGTCTTTAAATACACATATATAAAAAAAAAAAAAAAAATAAGGTGTATCATGAAGAGGCACATTTAATTTTTTTTAATATAAAAACTGCCTTCTACTTGTGTTCTTCTAAAATCATGGTCTGTGTTCAGCTCCTATCTTATGTTCAGGCCCACATAGCAGCATCCTTTCTTGGAAGAGCTACATATCCAAGAAGAAAAAAGGCAGGGTGTACGACTTGCTCCAAGGTCACACAACAACAATCATTTTGGCCATGACAGCAAATTGAACAAAGGCTACTTTGTGGCCAGTCATCTCAAAGCAAGCCTTTCTTTCACTGTGTTAAGACTAACCAAGATAAATCTCTACCTATGCTGTTTTCTCTAAAATATTTTAATACAAAAAGTGTATTTTAACATAAAAAGTATATTTAGCTATCTATTTATACGCTATCTACCACAGTCCCTTCTACTAATGACAGAGTTTGAACCTGAGAAACAATTCAAGGCTGCTCAAGTGCCCTCTGCCATGAATCTCACTCACTGCAATTCCAAGTGACACCTCCAGCAAACAGCCCCCATTCCACAGCTCAAAACCCAGAAGACGTTCTCAGAACTCCACGGACACCAGTGGGTCTCCACATGCCTGCAGGAGCTCAGCCACGCACATCAAACCGCAGGGGCAGAGCCAAAGTTTGCAATTTCTTTACACACACAGTGCTCAGCAACTTCTCCATTTCTCAGTTACCAAAAACGCGGTTTTGGGGGACTCCTCCAGCCTCTCAGAATATCAACACCCAATGACATTACGCAAAAGTCGTAACAGCTTGTTTTTTCAAAGCATTCCCACTGGCTCTGAATCCATAACTCATCTCACCTCACCCTTGTCCACAACTGCACCTCTCGCCCAACAAAGATTTTAGAAATGCTTTTTCACTTTTTCTTGTCTGAAGGTGCTCTGCTTCCTCTCACAGGATGTTACACCTATCTTACACTTACTAGTAGAAGGTAAACAGGCACATTACTACATGGCCACACTGAACTAGTGTGAATTTATTTCGAAGGATAAGTTCATGCTATTTAAAAAACAACAAGCAAACCCATACCTGACTGAAAACATAAGCCAGTCTCCCATTAATCCGTCCACGGCCAGTCACTACACTGTCTCCAGGATACTGCATTAAAAAAAAAAAAAAAAAAAAAAATCAAAGCAGCAATGACATCCACTAAAAAACCCACAAACTTAATACTGAGTACTAAGTCAAAGCAAAGACTGATTCTCCAAGAGGACTGGTCTTTCATGTTTGCAGTGGGGGCTCCACAAAGATTTCCCCCAGTGCTGGAAAGGAAAATAAAAGGTAATATCATGTATTAGTTGCGCATTAGTGTGAAGATTAGGGAATTTTGGAGTTTCTCCTCAAATTTCAGCACGTCTGGAATTAAGGCAAATCATGACCTTAGAAACAGGATGTACCTTTTATTAGGACCAGTTGACGTTTTTGAAAGAATGGACACAGAGTACAAACCTTTCTTGAAGTGCTGATATAGGGAAAAAAACAACCCTGGAAAGGTCAAAAAATATAACTACAGTCACCCCAAATGCTTCAACTTGACCTGTCCCATTTTTCACCCTGTAAATAAGGGAAGAAGAAAGAGCTGGAAGAGGAAGCAGCCTGTGAATCTTAAAATCTGCTTATCTATGTTGTCTCACTTTTCAGTAAAGGAAATATATAGAAGTCTTTCAAGACTACTACAAACAGTAGAAAAGGAACTTTACTGGGCTGTCACAAAGGAATTCCAGGCATTTAAATGCTTTTTGCTGCATGGTATAGAGGAAAAAACAAAACACAAAGCAAAAATGGAGAGCATATTGTGCACTCTAAGGGCCATTTATGCTCAAGGTGATCTGTTCTCCAGAAGGTCATACCAGTCTGAAGTCTTTTCTCAGGCTGCACAAACAGCACTGCTACCAACTCTTGGCACCCAGAACTGCAGGAAACACACTTGTAGTTCCAACCACTGTCTCACACAGATGACACCTAAAAGCCCAAGCAGCCCGCAGAGTGGCCTGGCTAAGAGTACAAGTCTCGCCCTACCTTCAGAAAGTTCCAGGAACTCAAGAGAAATTCAACGCTAAACTAATATTCCAGCTCACTGGCCACAGTTAGGTCATCTGTTGTGAAACTGTGCTCTGCAAACACAATCTGCAGCTCACTGAAAGCTGAATTCTGAAGGACAAGGAAAAAAATTAACCCTTTCGTCACTCTCAGGACTTTGCTGCTCCTCTTATCTTCAGAAATAGCAATTTGCTATCAGCACAGTGGGATGCAGCGTTGAGTAGTACGATGAGAGGCAACACAGCATTTATTTCAGCTTGCTGGGGAACAGAGTGAAAATCTACTTGAAGAAGAAAATACGCTTGCACCTACAGTCAGCAAGAAGGGAGAAGGTCTAGCACGACATCGTTCTCAGCACCAAGTCCCATCAGTCTCCTACTGATGGCTACTAAAATGAAAGCAAATCCTTCACCTTTGCTGGTTCCCAACGCCCAGCTGCTCACGGTGGCAGCCTACCGATCCCTTCCTCATCCATAGGATGCATCCCTGCAACTTGAAGGACTGAAAACTGATGAACTGGTTTAATAACCGCATAAACAGAAGTTGTACTCATTGTAGGCAGCATGAGGCAGTGGCACATATGGAGCAACTTCTCACCGCACTCCTAACCAGAACACTCTAAAGCAAATGGGGCTTTTTGCTACAGGAAGATTCCCACTGAAGAGGCACATCCGCACCAGCCACCTGCACATCCCAGCGTGTTTGTTGGTCCTTTCTGTATTAAATCTCAACCAAATGCTTTTCCCATGTAGTGATTTATCAGGCATCAACGTTACAGTGAGAGACTTTGGGGAGCCACAGATTTTCTCTCTATGTGAGGAACCTCATGTACCATGTTGGTTCAGAATACACAGCCGTACATCTGAAAACTGCGTAAGCAAGCAGGCTGCAACTTCCTACCAGAGCAGCAGGAAAGCCTGAATTTCCAAACATATCAGACTGTAACGACCCAGAGGATTTTTTGACTCTATAGTTTGGCAGGCATAAATATGATCTAAGTTATTTCATCCTATAGCGCTAATGTTACCTGTAGGGAGGCAGAAGTATCTACCCGTATTTGTTCTTCATATCTGACTTGAATGACAAAATTGTAAAAACAAAGCTCTGCAGCCTCCTCTATTATTTAAAATACAAATCTAAGACAATATCCAGGGAGGTATTTGAACAAAACAGGTGACCTTATAAAAAAGGTATCCAGTTTAAATAATGGAAAAGTAAACTATGTAAGTTGTTAAATGGAAACTGACAGTAATAAAAGGAAATTTGCAAAACAAAAAATAAAAGAAAAGAAAACAAAGAAATTACATGTGAACAGAAGAGCCTATTTTCAACCAGCTGACTGGCTCAACAGCAGAGGACAAAGAAACAAGAGTTATATGAAATAAAAATACCTTATTCTTATTAGAGTCCATCCCAAAGTCAGAACATCTGTGTTCCACAAACATGTCATATTCATCAAAACTGTCGGGGTCCAACAGCAGAAGAATTCGCTCTCTTGCTGTCAGCTTTCCCTGAAACAGAGCAAGCAACAATTAATATGGCCATTAATATGGCCATGAGGTGGTTCTGGCTCCCTTGCCTAACCACCAGCGGATGTAGTTTAATCAAACACAGCCTCACTTGATCTGTTACTTTTGGTCCTCTAAGCAACCACATGCCCCCAAAGCTGGAAATAGCCTATATAGTGATTATCCTCCATAAAAACAAACATAATGCAAGCCAGACTTTAAAAAGAAGGCTGTTAGAGCAGCACTGCCGCAAGATAAAGGAAAATCTCAGAGTCCTTTCAACAAGACTTAATAGCATGGCAGCTATTTCTGCCTACACGTTTACATGCCACCATTAAGGCCTTTGTTCTATTCTTAAACGTGGCACCCTTCCACAGCTAAACCAGTCCTTACAACAGTTCAAGGCTCAACTCACCACACGCGATATTTGACTGCGGCAAACGACAGGAAAAAGGACATACAACAGCCCACAGGGATTTTCTGACAAAATCCTTCCGTTCTTTCCTCTGTTGAACAACAGTATAGGCAAGAGTAGAGTGAGGGCCCAAAACGTAATCAATTGTCCAGATATGCATGTCCCTTGCTCAGTACCAATGATGCCATGGAGTAATAAGTGATGGCAAAGTTCTTTTTATATTAACCTTCCAAACAAATTTGTTATTTCCAAACCAGGTACTATTTGTCTACAAAGGTCAGGGCACCTGGGTTGTCTTCTTTAGTGGATGGCATGACCCTACCTCAACATGATTTTAAACATAGCTCAGCTTCTCTGCAAAACTTCTGACTAGTGGCTCAAAAAGTTCATGAAAATCAACTAACACAGGAAAGGCTAAGGTAAGCCACAGATCTAATTGATATAAAACAAGACAGATGATGCGTGAGGTCTCTAGACACACAGAAATGCTTGCACCCTGGGATATCAGTGTCCTAAGCATAACTCCGTGAGCCTGTAACTCTTTTCAGATGTGTAACTATGGGAGGGAAACTGCTGAGGGCGAACTGATTGTTCACGTAGTCTTCCCATGAATGGCTATTACTATCTCCTTGATGCCTACAAGCCATCGTAGTACTACTAGGCTGTTGCCCTGAACAGAAAAGAAGTCCCAGCGAGAAACAATGAAAAGAAACAGGAAAACTATGTTGCCATCCCCCTCAGCATTGCCTAAATTCTGAACAATAGAGGCAAGAGACTAAACATCCAGCTGTCATCATCCTTCCCATCTGTCTTTGCCTTATTTCTACTCTTCTAGCTCTTTGCTCTCACCTCATAGAAGATCAGCTTAGATTTGCCACAGCGGGGTAAAAGACGAAACTGTGCTGGGTGGCATGCCTCCAAGACCAGTAAAGCGTTAAGCAACCTCAAACTTGCCATCACATGATAGCCAGAAGGTGCAACTTGTGCCTGTGCTACCCCTCATACACACGCGTTACAGCCAATCGTGGTGACCGAGCTGATGTAAATGAATTAGTTTTTTCTGCCTGCAGTACCAGGTAAAGCAGTCTTTAATGCCGCTTCAGCCAAGCTCCCCCGCAAAAGGGCCTCTGCAACTGAAACGCAAACCCGCCCCAGGTTGTGCAAAGGCGTTTCCAGCCCCGGGCGCTTTCTGCCGCTGACCGCGGGAGGCCGCCTGAGCCGTGCCCGCGGCGCGGCACCGCGCCCTGCCCGCCCCGCAGGCAGCGGGTCCCGGGCCGGAGCCTGGCAGTCGCTGCGACCA